TGGTTGTCGAGTTGAAAGTGGGTGACAAAATGCACTCGCTTTGCGAACACACACGCACACACACACGCACATACACACAGACAGCCTCTCGACAGTATGCGTTTTTGCTGGCTGCTATAGCGCTGCACAGCAAAAACGCATAAAAAAGACTTTTTAAGAATTTCTTGGTCGCGCTAATAATCCAAATATTGCCAGCAGTGCCAATTTGCAAGAAAGTCATAAATTTAGTACTGGCTAAAAGAGAGCATGAAAAACACGGGGGTTGGAGTTGTGAAGCAATGAATCTGATTTCATAATTTCAGCCAAACCACTGCCATATTTTTTGGAAATGATGTATTAAAATTGATTTGTTCAAAATTGTCGCAGCTGGCAAGTGAACATGTGGTCAAATGGGCGACTAAACGGACAGGGAGGAGCGGACATAACCAAGCCGTAAAATTGTTTTTGAGCAACACAAAACAAAACATACCTTCCAGTGCGTTAAGCGAGGATTCGGTTCGATTTTCTCGTCTTTTTTTAGAAAGTAAGTGGTTGCTTCCACTGCTTCACCTCCGAAAACGATCAGGGTAAGCGGTCCACCGAAACTTACAGGTGCATCAACTTTTGACAAATTGACAGCTGGAGGCTCCGTTGCGGACAACTGCAAACTCCACGATTCGTTCGTACCATTTCGCCCTCCGTACATTCTTCAATGGCAGTAGAAATAAGGAGTAGTCTCGCGCGAAACAATTTCGCTGAAGTTCTTTTTATTCGGAAAAAGAGAGGAAGTCAGCAAGCAGAAAAGGAATGGGACCAGGGCGTTGTTGCTTTTGTTTCAGACCAAAAGGCACCAGAACGGAAAAAGAACGGTCTGCGGTAAAAAAATTGAACAAAAAAACACCTTCTAACAGCAAAAAATGAAGCAAAAAAGTACAGCGATATCGTAAATATCGTCTACCTGGGAAAAATACCCCATCCATCGTAATTTTTGACCGCATATATCGATATTTTTTGAGCCTCAGGCAGTGATTTGATAAGGCGACAAATTTCCTTGGCACGACGATTAGCTTCACAGGAGTACTCCTCTGGCACCCAGTTACTGATCACAATGACACCTTTGATTATATTCTAAAGGTATTATTATTTATTGATTAAATAATAGTTAGCGTTTGAGGCACTGCTACAACTGAGTTTTCGAGAAAGTAGATGCGAGGACTAGTGAAGGCTAAAGGATAAAAGCGGTGCACCTTGTTCAAGTGGCATTATGCATCTCATTGTTTCATTGCCCTAATTTCTCGAGACACAGTGAAAGTAAAAGAAGATATATATGAAATCTTGTTTTTTAGATCTGTTGATGCTTTGCTTCTAGTGTGAAGTGAATCCTTATGGTTTAAGAGTGGCGGCGTTTGCTACGAGGTGACGATGTCCAGGACACAATAATGACTAACCGTTAAAGCTTCCCAGGCACTTTTACTGAAGGAAACTTGAAGCAGTCAGACTCTGATACTGCGTTTAAAATAAGTCCTATCCCAACAGAAACATAATCGGAACAATTCTGATAATTTTTTTAGCAGTGCTGTATTTGATGGAAAAGTATTTTGTCTGCAGTGTGTTTTCCAAAAAAGATGTGATTAATGCACATGGCACCACTGCTCTGAAACTTACGCGAATTAGTGGATAGTTTGGCGAGACCACTCATCGAAGTGTTGTGCTACGGGTCGTGGGTTAAGTGCACAGTATATTCTTACCATCAAACCATTTCTAGGGTATCGAAACGGCACCCTCCATACCGCCCGTCCAGGAAAGCATAAGAACATTTGCAGGTTGTAAGAAGAAACACTCCAAGCACGTACGCTCCATTCCTCACTCTGTTTTGATCAGTTTCGCTTTTCTTTTGGAAACAATAACCATGCCTTGTTCCATGAATTCTATTTTTTTGTACTTACTGTATTTTTTTTACCATTTTTTTTATCAGCCAACGTTACTAATCAAAAAGGATTCTTACCAGCCTTCACCTGCTTTCCTTTAGCCGAATAAACTCGAATCAGAGTCATCAACTCCGCGCTACCAAAGCGTCTAACTTTTTTAGCTCTGCTCAAACAAAGGTTCAATCGGTTTCAATTTTCATTTGCGTCGCATTTGCAAGTCTAAACATTGCATCCAGCTTACGTTTTTGGAGGAATTAATCATGATCGACGGAAGGCGGTATTAAAGCTATTAATTCCTAGCAATGTTCAGGAACTGACTTGCAATAGATTTATCTTTCACAACCCGAAATAATCCAGTTTTCGCATTGCAAACCTAAACAGCATTCAGCCAACAAATTTGAAACCCATTTTTGACACAAAGAGCAGTTGCACAAGCCAACCTCTTTTTTCCATCCAAAAAGATCTTGAAACAGCTGCTTGTTACTTTCAGGTTTATACATGCATAAGTCGAAACCAGCGCTGAAAGAAGAAATTGATTCTTAAGTAGTCAGCGCAAACGTATTAGTTCACAAAAGACAAGTTTTGTGTCTAAAAATTGTTCAAGCCTCTACGCCAAAAATTCATGAGGATAGTATATTTTTAGAAACATAAAGAGGCACTCTAGTAGGTCCAGTGACGGAAAAATGATGTCGACATGCACATCCTTACGTTCCAGCAGTGCCTTCGGAATAAC